TCTGGGCTTTCCATCACTCCAGTGCAATTTGGATCGAGGTCTCTTAAGGTGTGTCCAGCCACTTAAGAAAACAGATTGCATTCCACATGACTGTGCTCTTATTCCACAGCAAGTGCCTTTCTAATTGAAAGGCTGCTCAGCTCCAGAAAAATCATAGCAACTTTTGTTGATCCTTAAGTCAAGTCCTCAGACTGGTACTATTCGAGTTACAAAAACACCGAAGCCTGTATTGCTCTCTATGGTTTTGTGGTCCTTTCCTTCAGAAACCACCTCCGCTTGGTTGCAACTCAAGGGAACTGTGGATTCCCCACTGAAGGATGTACGGAAATTTTATTTCCAGCTTATTTGCAACTTGAGGAAAGACACAAACCAACAAATCCTATTTTGAAGAAAAACTCGTCTCTAAAAAATGCAACCAAGCTTTTCATGATGCTGCTTTCTCCTGTGATTTGTGGTCTTAGGCTTCAGCTTAAGCTGTCATGGGATGGGCAGGTTTTCTCCTGTGTTAGAGCTGTCCTGAATATTCATTTCAGTTTATGGATTTACCGTTTGGGGAAAAGTAAGAGAATGTAGCTCTGCTAGAGCCAAAGAATCCTGAGGGGGTACACAATCAGCTACAACATGATGTATTAAAACCAAGCAAATCCTGCCTGAATCGTCTCCCTACAATTTCAACCCTGACTCACTACAGCTTTGCTTTCACAAGTGTCCGCTGAGTACTGGGATGCTACCCACATTGCATCTTCCCTACGAGATGAAAGCACTATCAGTTCCGCTGCGGAGGAAAAAATTCTGCTGGCTGCTTTGCACGCTCTACAATGTGAGCTCTAAGCATAAGAGCGGTCTGTAAGCAACTGTATTAGTTGCAGCCACGTTAATTCTAACTCCCTCCTCAGAAACGTAAAGATAAATAGGCGCGCACACTCCCTTCCCCTCCGTACTCTGAGAAGGGCTGTCTTTTCACTGCTTTGGGAAATAGCGTTTCAACACCGAGAATAACAGAGGCTGACGTTACTGACGGATTTGACCGTAGGGCATGTGCTTATTTCACTTACAGCTTTTGCGTCAAGTCTTTTGCGGAGCAAACACTGACAATGGATTTCCTGTACACCAAGGGACTGCCTCACTCCAGAATAACAATACGCATACAACCTCAGGCCTGGCCTTTGGCCAGCGTAAACTCCCTGACTTCGTTCCGAATGTCCACATAATGCTGGCAACTCTCCTTTACTTTTTAATTGTTTTCTTTATGTTTTCCAGTTCATATTTCAGTAATACAGAAAAGATCATTGGATATCTATAACTTCCATTTACAGCTTATGTTTGACAAATGAAAATTTGACAACTGAAAGCTTGGACCAAAACTAGAATGCTACTAAATCACGCACATAAGCTGAAATGAGGGGGGAAAAAAACCTCCCCGTATGTTACCTTGCACCACTTCTGTGCCTGTGAATGGAAAGATGAGACTCAACCCTGTATTAGTCGTACAGCTTTATGCTGAAATACATACACCGCACCTCAAACCAACCTTGCGTCTATTGTCCTAGTCGGTTTGCCTCCTGCAAGTTTATTGCCTTTGTAATTCTCTGGAATGTGGCCACGGGATTCAAGTCCAAAGTTCAGCTTACACAAAGTAAACTGTCCTTAAAAGCTTCAGGTAATTCTGTTCAAACAAACGGACATCAATACCGTGACTTTTTTTAATGGCAAAACTGCAAAACCCCACCGCATTCTGCTGCTGAAACCTCGCTGATAGTTTTCCTCATTGCACACTGTTGCATTTTTTAAACTTCTATTCTATTTTCTTAACAAAGATACAGAGAAAGCCTGATTAAACTTCTGCAGATCAAAGTACAGCCCTAGACACCGGAGTGCTCTGCTTATCCACAGAATTACTGCGCACAGCAGAAGCAGGAGCACTGCAGGCCACCAGCTAACTTCTGTCTAACCAGAGGGAGAACCTGCAAAGCTGCGACCAAGTCCTGTGCTCACAGCCTACGCAACCCCGTTCTGGGCTGCAGAGACCATCAGGCTGAAGGGCTGCTGGGGCTTTCACCTACGCTTCTATAAGCAGCTCCTCCCTTTAGATATGCCATCTACAAGGTACAGACGATGACAATTTTGTCATTTGTCAGTTGTTAAGAGCTGCTCAGCTACGTGCCATTCAGTTATTATTTTGTAGCTTCCTTACATGCAAAAATTTACAATAAAAATTTTTAAAAGAGACCAGAAGTTCCTAATTTGTGGAAGCTCTTGCCTAAGAGCAATAAATATTTGGTTTGCAAAACTTAAAGGTATCTTTTAATGTTGGTAAGTTAAAATGCTTTTCTGATGTCTGCTCCTTAGACTACAAAGAGATTACTTGTGGTTAACCAGCTTCACCTGCTCCTACTTAGTTTTTGTCACCAGACAGCCTGTTAGACATCTGACAGCCCATCAGCTGAGCAGCATCTGTTAATAACCAGTATCCTTGTTAGAAAGGGTATGCGTCGGGGCCTCTTTCCTAGAAACCCTTCTCTTCCTTATGTAAGGCAGATGCCACAGTCCACTTGCCAGGTTGGTTTTGTTACATGTAATTGGCTTTTTATTTTTAGGTTGAAAAAAAAATGCTAGAAATTCTCGTCAATTCCTAGGCAGCACACTGGAGCATAAAAGATTCAAACACAAAAAAAAAGAAAGAAGGAAATAAAAATAAGTCAGCCATGTATTCTCTTCTTAGGCTTTAACAGTTAAAGCAAATAAAAATTTAGTGGTACTGTGGCAATATATTCCATGCTTTAAAAAAAAAAAGGCAAAAGAAAGAAGAGAACAGAAATCCCCCCTTCAACAGCCCCAAGATATCCACAAGTCAGCCAATGACTGACAAATTTTGGAGCAGTGTCAAAGTACCCCGTGCCAGGATTAAAAGCATATGTAAACTTTATGGCTATGGTTATTCACGAGTAATCTCAAGTGGCCTCTGTCTGCTGGCTTAATGAACATTTAGAGAACTGATTGTGCAGCTAGCCAGAGCTATGAGTGCTTTTTATGACAGACCGTTGAGAGCAATTTCAAATAGGGTAAGAGCTCAAACTGATGAAGATCAGAATTTATATGTCTGTAGGTATGAAAATAAAGGGCAGAGCCATTTGAGAAGGTAACAGAGGTTCAGAGATAGCTACAAAACCTCTAATAGTATCTCAAAGGTAGAAGCCCTGTTCAACTGCTATCCCTTCTTCTTCAGCTTTCCTCCTATTCACTGTCTACAGGTCATGGAGTGAATCAGTGACGTCAGTGGTCTCATATAGCACTTACGGCTGAGCTATCTTCCTCGTGCCCAGGATGGAGTTGGGTGGGGGAGGATAACTCAAGATTGCAGCGTAACTTGAGTTTGTTTGAAGAAAACCAACTGGCCGGTCGGTCAGAAAATTCCCACAGTGCATCTGTGGTTTGTGCACCTCACCTACAACATTCCTCCAGGGGCACTTCTGAGCTAAGACCCTACAAACACCTCTGGTGCTCAAGTAAGATTGTCTGTGACATCCGCATCTCTCCCTAAAAAACCTCTCTCCATTTATTTGGACCCTCCAACTGCACACCAACCAACTAGCCTCCTCCACTTTGCTCTGCTCAGACCATGCTCAATATCATACTATAGTAACTTACGCACCCGGGACGTCGGCAGTTGCAGTGGTTTAGGGCACTGAGGGCTCTGGGCTGCTTTATCCCTGTGCGGTCTAGGGATGCCACTCAGGTAGACTTACGCTCTGGTCTGACACTATCCCAGGGCCCGTAGTTTTGTCAGGAGTCCCCAGCCACTGCCACCCAAACCCTCAAGGCCGTGCCCATCTGTGCCGTGTAACTGCCCAGTTGCTCTGCCGGGGACGCAGGTTTGCTCCTGAGCTGGGTTTACGTGAGGATGTTAATGCATTTGCTGCCCTTCAACCAAGCGGATGATTGCCTAA